ACCAACTAGGTGCTGGTAACCATGGCTTCAACAAGGAAGCTGGCCTTTGTGAGGTAATCTTCCCATTTGATGCAGAGGATTTTCTGGAGGCATAGTTGGTGATACTTCTCCATGCTCTTGAGATGATGACAGTAAGTCACCCAAGTCACATCCATATAGGAAAGTGGGGATGACGATTGAATTGTAGACCTAGATCTTGGTGTCTTTGTGGAGATTACAATGAGTAAAGAGATGCCAAAGCAATTTCCCACAGGAGGCACTTGCACACCAGATTCTGTACTGGATCTCCTCATCAGTGCTAACTCAGTAGAGAGGTGGCTACTGAGGTAGGTGAAGTGCTTGACTACTTCCAAGGTCTTTCCCTCCATCATATTTTGGGGAGCACGCACATTTGTGGCCTGGGGCAGGCTAGAGAGTACTTGGGCCTCTCTCACCTTGTGAAAACTAAAGTTTGAAAAGTTTCTGCAAAGAGATCCGGTGTTTATCTGGAGATTTGCCTGAGTGCATGCAAGGATGGCACAGTCATCAGCATATTGAAGGTGAAGTATGGTTGTTTTGAATGCTTTGGTCTTCAAATGAAAATGAGCCAGACTGAAAATGACACAGCTTTACAAGCACTCATGGTGCTCTGATGAGGTACCTGATGACTGGAAAAGGGCCAATGTGGTCCCCATGTTCAAAAAAGGGAGGAAACTATAGGCCCGTTAGTTTTACCGTGGTCCTGAGGAAGCTGTTTGAGAAAATTATCCAGGAGCACATCTGTGAGGGGCCAGCAGGGGAGTTTTTGCTTAGGGACAATCAACACAGGTTCATTAGAGGTGCATCCTGTCAGACCAGCCTGGTGGCCTTCTATGACCAAGTCACAAAAGCCTTGGTATGCAGGTGTCACAGTGGATGTAGTCTTCCTGGACTTTAGGAAGGCCTTCAACACTGTCTCTCACCCCATCCTCATTAAAAAAAAAACTTGGCGTCTGTGGTGTTGACACCTACACTGTTAGATGGGTTGCAAAATGGCTGGAGGGCCGCACCCAGAGAGTGGTGGTGGATGAG